TGAAGAGGAAGGGAGAGGACAGTTCCCTGTGGAGATCCTGTGTTGCTGACAACACTGTCTGACTCACAGTATGCAGCGATTTATAGACTCATTCAACAAATTAGAATATTGCTTAAAAACCCATTTATTCCAGAAATTTTATCACTAAATCCAATACATTATATACATAAAAACCACATAAATATGTGAGCCTTTATTTCTTTTAAATACAATGATTTTCCATTTACAGGTAATGAAAACATGACCTTTAAAATTGCAGCATAACATCAAACCACTAAAAAAAAAAAATGTATTACAGAAATGTGGGTGTTGTTTATGTTTAATGGTTGTTTTGTCTGATATTGTCTGTTTATTGACTGTATAGTACCGTATCTTCATGCTTTTAGTCTAGTGTATGTCATACAGATTACTGAGATACGTCTATATCCAATGTATAATAATGTATATTTAGATTCAAATTCAGAAAATATTAGCAAAATTCATTTGAGGCTCATACAGTAACAGATAACCAACCAAAATCATGAAACTAAAAGTATAAACACAACAAAGGATAAACACACAAAGACTCCAAAAGGTTCAACGTAAAACTAAAAATGTTCAAATGCATTGTTCCTTTAATACACTACAAATATCACTTTTAAAAATGCATAATTATTTTTTTTTAAAAACACTTGATTAATAGCTCGCTTAAAATAAAACAGTTTCATGGAAAGCTTCACGTTCTGCTGCTCTCACATGAGCAGTTAAGCTTCATTTTTTCAGTGAAACTTTTTCCACAGGTCACACATGAGAAAGGCTCCTCACTAGTGAATCGTCATATGACGATTTAAATTAAATTTGCTATGGAAGCTTTTTCCACAGGTCACACAAGAAAAAGGCTTTTCATCTGTGTGAGTTATCATGTGACGATTTAAATTAGTTCTGCTTTGATAGCTTTTTCCACAATTCACACAAGAAAAAAGGTTTTCACCTGTGTGAGTCTTCATGTGATAAGTTAAACTCATTTTATTGATGAAACTTCTGTCACAACTCGTGCATGAGAAAGGTTTCTCACTCATGTGAGCCACCATATGACTACTTAACTGAGGTTTGCATCGAAAACTTTTTCCACAGGTCACACAAGAGAAAGGCTTTTCTCCTGTGTGAATCCTCATGTGATAAGCTAAACTGCTTCTTCCAATGTAACTCTTTCCACAGGTAATACACACGAACGGCCTCTCACCTGTGTGACCTCTAACATGTTGATCTAAACAAGCTTTGACAGGGAAACTTTTTCCACAGGTCTCACACAAGAAAGGCTTCTCACATGTGTGAATTTTCATGTGACTCAGTAACTCATATTTGCTTCGAAAACTTTTTCTACACTTCTCACATGGGAAAGGCTTCTCACCTGTGTGAATCATCGTGTGACGTTTTAAATCTGATTTGGTTCTGTAGCTTTTTGCACAAGTCACACATGAGAAAGGCTTCTCATCTGTGTGAGTCTTCATGTGAGTGGCTAAAGTAATTTTAGTGAAGAATTTCTTTTCACAGCTTGGACATGAGAAACGCCTCTCACTCGTGTGAGTCCTCCTATGACAATTTAACTGAGATCTGGATGAGTAGTTCTTTCCACAAGTCACACAAGAGAAAGGTTTTTCACCTGTGTGAGTTCTGATGTGATATTTTAAAACAGTTCTTTGGGAAAAACTTTTTCCACAGGTCACACATGTGAAAGGCTTCTCACCTGTGTGAGTTCTGATGTGATAAGTTATACCAGATCTATTAGTAAAACTTTTACCGCAGATAGAACACAAGAAAGGCCTCTCACCTGTGTGACATCTAATGTGTTGATCTAAATGATCTTTCACAGCAAAACGTTTTCCACAGGTCCCACATGAGTAAGGCTTCTCACCTGTGTGAATTCTCATGTGACCAAGTAACTTGGATTTGAATCGGAAACCTTTTCCGCATGTGCCACATAAGAAAGGCTTCTCTCCTGTGTGAATCATCATGTGGATATTTAATCTGGATTTACTGCAGAACCTTTTTTCACAGGTGACACATGAGAAAGGTTTCTCGCCCGTGTGAATTTTCATATGATTTTTTAAAGATGATTGCCTACTGAAACTTCTCCCACAATTAATGCATGAGAAAATGTCACCTGTGTGAATTCTCATGTGATAAATTAAACTGAACTTTTGAATGTAACTTTTACCACAGACTGAACACATGAAAGGCTTCTTCTCCGAATGAATTCTCGTGTGTTTAGTCAGGTATCTCCTTTGAGAAAAGGTTTTATCACAAACTTTACAAGAATACAATTGTTGGTGTTGTTGATCTTCCTTGTGTGTTTTTTGCTTTGAACTGTCAGTTTTACTTTCCCAATTTGTAGTTTTCCGACATCTTTTGTTGTGTTTCTGTTCTTCCTTTCTCTTTTTTCCTGGGTCTTCAGATTTGCTTCCTTCCTGATCCTGGTTCTCATCCTTAGCAGAACCATGAGAGATGAGTTGGTTCCTCTGTGGTTCTGTTTCATTGTGGATTCTTTGCACATTAGGAGGATTCACCAAAATGTCATCAGTCTCCTGTTTCACCACAAGCTGCTCTTCATCCTGACTGATGCAGAGTGGCTTCTCTTCCTCTTTGAACTCTTGCTCTAGTTTTATCTTCAGGGCTTCTGGTTCCTCTTGTTCTACAGTGGAGTTCTCCTCCTTGGAACAATCTGTGAATTCATTCAGAACCTCCTCCTCTTTACACACCCAGCACTGTGGGAGATCTGCACAAAAAGACAAAACAAAAGCTTTTAAATGTGAGTAAGAGAATGATTCCTTCACTTTAATCACTTAAAGCCTTTTCAAGTGATTCAAAGACTAAAATGACAACATAACCAATTTAGTCCTTCTGAACAGAAGGGAACTCCATGTCAGTCAATATATACTTTGGACCTTGTGGTGAGAAAGCAAGATGGCGATAGCTTAACTTAGTGTCCCCAAAGTTGGTCCTGGAGGGCCGGCATCCTGCATGCCCTCCAGGACCAACTTTGGGGACCCCTGACCTCGTGACTCCCCAACAGAAATAGTCCAAACAGCAGATCGATTTAATCTTGTTGTAGTACCTTAGAGTCTAATACAAAGTTCTACACCGAAAACCTTTTATGAACAGAAGAATTTGTTTTCTAGTGTACCTTAAAAAAAGATAAAATAAGCATTTTAAATCCTGCTGATGCTTTTGGTAGATTTCATGTCTCCGTTCCAATCTTCATTTGCATAAAACATCTGTTGTTCATCACTGAAACAATTCAAACTAAAGTTGTAAGCAACCTCAAATATCCCTTGCAGCTCAGCAAAGATCTGGCATATGTTGTAACTGCGAACTCATTGCCGATCGACAAACTCCAACTCCACTAATCAATTCTGCATATAGCCACTAAGCAGTACATTGAGAAAGACTCTATATTATGTTCAGTTAGACTCAGTTCAGCTCCAAAAAGAAGTATTCAAAATTTGGCAGAAACCAAACCTTCTTGACGGAAGTTGTAGCCACTTCCTGTTTGGTGTCATAGGAGTAATTAAGACTTCCTGTAGAAAACTGCATTTGAGTTTATTATCTATCATCAGAGAAAGGTTGAACATGAGGGTCATTCACCACAGAAACTGGTGACTTTTTTCTCAGTGGGTGATGTTAGGGCTGTCACCATAAGTTTTGCTGAACGGTGAATTTTCTCAGATGTTATTACGATAAACAATTTCAGGTAATATAATGCTGATGATAATGCAAGAACGCATTCTAAATGCAAATCAATCTGATTAAAATAACAGTACTAATGCGTGTGTGTTGATAACTGTAGGGGAAAAAACGATCCGTCATAGCACCCTCAGTAAAATGCTTAGCTCCCCCTTAGCACCTGCACAAAAAAAATTCTGGAGCCGCCACTGCTCTGAGGTGAAGATAAAAAGAAACAGCTTCCAGCTGACTCTGAGGGTGGGCAGTACCCCCCCAAGTCCCCCCAATGCCTCCGGACCTGACTGTAATCCTAATGAGCTGATTGGTGATGACTGAGATTTGAGCCTCCAAGCATTACTCGCCCCCACACCAGGCTCACTCGTTTTTCATTTAAATCAGTTTACAAGTATCATCTTTACTGCGATACGCACCACATTTTTCTGGCAATCCCATAATATTATGATCCTATAGTGACATCTGTGTGTGCAACACATTGCAGGTCAACATTATGTTAAACTATAGTCTGTTGCTGTTATTCATTACATATGATCACAAAAACATTCACTGCATGTTTACATATATTAACTGTTAAAACTAATATTACAATTATGCTGCTTATAAAAACAGTTGAATCATGATGGATCCTCATGTACACAAGATGTATTTCATTCTTTAAGCGGTTTGTTTAATTAATCTTCCTTCTTGTTATCCATGTTAAGAGGGAAAGATTTCACATATTTTAACATGTAGGATCCATTTTTTCCCACCGTATTTATTTTACATCTTAATTCTAGAGACCATTTTTTTACATCAATAAGTAATGAAACTTATTAAAATAGTTTCATTCATTTGCAGTATGGTTTCTCTTGATATATTTTGCAAAAGGACTGATAACACATTTTTATTTAAAAACTGTACATTTTAAAAAGCTGTTTGTGATTTTGTTTAGAATACTGAAATTAAAACAGTTATTGTGCATTGTTTTTTTTTTTTTTAAGTTTGGACCTACTGTCTAAAATTTAGTTTTAAATCTGCACATAACGCAATTAAACACAAACTTAACGAGAACGTCCTTAATCTGGTTGGGTCACGGATTACAAACTGTAATTGTCGTATAATATGATGATTAATAGTCCGGTTCGCAGTTGATCACTTTACGCATTTAATATTTACAGCTGCGGCGGAATTACAGTTTGTTGTAAAATCTATTTGAGTTCTTAACCCGTCTCCAATTCTATTTATCACATCTAAAACTTTACCTGACCGTATCATCAGTAAAAAGTGAAGGTGTTTCGTACCTATCCGGTGTAAGATGATCTTCGGTATCCGGGTGAAACCCAGCTGTCTGCGCTGATCCTCCATCTCTTCTTCAGACTTAACTTTTATTTCTGTCTGATCGTCCATCTCTTCCTCGATCTTGACTTTGATTTCTTTAAACTCTGTGAATGTTTCTTCAGCAGCAGTTACCTGCTCGTTGATAAACTCTATCTGAGGCTGAACTGAAGACATTTTTATTGCAAATACGGAAATATTTACCTAAAACACCAAACCAGTTTTCAAACTACCTTCTAACAAAAGAAAAGCTAACGCTACCGTGTGCTCTCGGTGTTTCCGTGTGTTTCACTTTGGCTGTTCTGAAGAAACTAAACGAGTTTTTTGTTCCGCTCTGAATTTTCCGCTTTTTGCCACCTTTTAAGATGCAAAATATGTAGAATTGAATGTTTTTGAAAGGTTAATTTATTTCAGCCGACTTAAGCACAGTATAAGGAATAATTACACAAAGACTGATTTTTAAAGTTTTTTATTTCTGTTAATTATGAGTTATAAAAATATACTTTTATCTTACAGAAAAAAAAACATATTGGAACGTTTATTCTAATTTTTTGAGTATCATCTTTTTAGTATGTAAACCAGAGTCTAATATTGTTATACCATATTGTAGTTTTGTAGGTCTTTTTTGTAGGTAGCCATCAAAATAGTAAGTTTTCTGGTTATTTTGAAAAGGTCTTGCCCTGTTTTTTACGTCTGATATATTTTCAGTCTCATATTCAGTTATGTATATAGAAAACACATACATAACTAGTTTCTAAACTTTTCATTTAATAGTACTGATATTTAATGAATGATTACTGAAACGATATTGTAGTTATTCCAGGTGGAATGCAAATGCAAAGTTGCTCTAAAAGTTGCATTAAAAGTGCCAACTTTGCACGATTTTATAAATAATTTAATGCAAAGTTGGCATTTAAAATGGACTTTTAATGCAACTTTTAGAGCAACTTTGCATTAAAAGTGTCATTTACCAAATGATACTTCATAACAACTGTCTTAAACATCCATGAAGACTTCATGTTCATGACAGATGTTATGACTGTCATGTTATTCTTATCCGCACCTCATCAAATAGTGTTACTGACTCACTCAAAAAATTTGAATATTACTTAAAAGCCATTTATTTCATAATCTTTACCACTTAATCCAACACATTGTATACATTAAAAACACATACATGGATGTTTGAAAGGCTTTATTTCTCTCAAATATGATTTTCAATTTACAGGCAATGAAAACATATTTAAAATTAAAACATAACATCACACCACTAAAAAAACCAAATGTAATACAGAAATGTGGGTGTGATGAAAGATTAATGGTTGTTACTTTGTCTGAGATTCTGTTAATTTGACTTGTGCGCTGCATCATATAGTGTGGTATTGTTATGCTTTTAGTCCAGGGTATGTCGTACAGCATTCTGAGATACCTCTGCAACAACGGTACATAAAGTATATTCAGAAAACGTTGTTCTCAAAGCACAGTTCATTTCTGACTCTACCAGTGCATACACTAAAAGGTACCATGTATCCACTTTATGAAAATCAAACAAAGTATAAATACAACAAAGGATAAACACAAGGAGTTCAAAAGTTTAAATCTAAAAATATTCAAAAGATTTACTCCTGTAAGCCACTACAAATATCACTTGTAAAATAAAAAAAAATCCATTCATATGAAAGAACTCATTTAATGTAGTTATTGCAAAAATGCAACCGACCACCGGGCTTAACAAGTTTTCTGGCTCAAATCTCGATTCTGCTCAAAATACTGGTACATATTTTAAGACCTTTTCAACGTGCAAACATTTACATGTACAAACACATTCTCAGAGCAAAGTATAACAATGACTTCTGTGGAACAAACATTTGGGAAAATAAAACCCAGTCTGTGGTTAGCTCTAAATCAAAATCTGACCAGATCTCAGTAATATTTTCATTTCTTTAAATAAACATGACAGAGTCCTACTTACACAGAAAGAAAAAAAAAACACGTTTCAATGATTTAATATGTAAAGAACTTAACATGAAGTCATTCATGGAAATGCCAAAAATGCTAAGCTCAATTATTCCACATGGTTCATAACTCCATGAAAAAAACTGAAACGTTTTCTACTTGATGTGTACAACATCTGACCAAATTTTCCATTGGATCGGATGCCAAAACGGATCGGCTCTGTTTCGAGGCCAAGTCTTCTAGTCTGTGTGAATTCTCATGTGATGAGTTAAAAGCTTTCTTACACTGTAACCCTTTCCACAGGTCCCACAGGAGAAAGGCTTTTCACTCGTATGAATCCACATGTGATCAATTAATTTAGTTTTCCTCCCGAAACTTTTTCCACATCTCCGACATGAGAAAGGCTTCTCACCACTATGAATCCTCACGTGATCAAGTAAATTTGTTTTTGTCCGGAAACCTTTTGAACAAGTATCACAAGAGAAAGGCCTCTNTTATTTTTAATTCTAAATTAATATCCTTGTTGGACTTTTATTTAAGTGCTATTTTCCTTCAAGACACATTTACCTAATGCTGGAATAAATACAATGCACATTCTGCAGCAAAGGAAATTAGAATATCGGACATTTATCCATTATGGAGATGATCGGTTTTGGACGGGCGATGTGCCCCTATTGCATAAGTGATACTGAAGAATGACTGATTTCATTAACGGTACAGGGAAGAAGCTTTTTAGTTATCTAGCTTTGCTAGCAAAGTCGTTAGCTAGCAGCTAGCTAATAGCACAACAACAGCCTAATGTCTGCATGATAAAAATACTGAATCAATAGATAAGAACAGTTTCTCCTCACCTGGCTGTCTCCTCCCCTCAGTAGTTCTTCAGAGAAAGGCAGACAGAGGCCTGTCAGTGTCTGTTGTATTTCATTTCCTCTCTGCTTAAACCGCTGAAGCAGAAACGATGCTTCATCGTTTTCCATCATCCGACAAATAGCAAGTCTGCTCCACTTTATTCACCAAAAACGTTTTTTTTTTAATTTACCAAAAACTGATCTGTAATCTGGAACGTTCGCTATGCTGAGCTCCAGTTAGCCGCCTTATCTCACTGCGAGAGAGGCAACTGCGTCATGCGTCACGGGCAAAAGGTCAAAGGTAACAAGGTGACCGGAGGGCTTATTATGTTGTACAAAAAAAAAAACAACAACAAAAGACAAATAATTTTAGTACATGTTATTATGTGTCAGAAGAGGGCTTAGAAAATAATAATACAAAAAAATAAAAATAAAAAATAAAAATAAAAATTGACCAAAAGGGCACTTGGGGGCAAGGAGCAAAAGGGGCAGGTGCTCAAGCCCCCCCAGCTGCCCCTCCCTCCTTCCCCTCTGCACGTGCCTGGTTGTATCTGTGAAACACGATTTGTAAGCGCAAAAAGAAAATAAACCTTTGCCTACGCCTACAAATGTTGAACAAGTACGAAGGAGTCGCCAGATACACGCACACACAAAACTGCAGTGACGTACAGATCCAGGTATGAGTGCACAGCTATTTTTCATGTCCAGCCCCATCTCAACCTTACACAAACAAACATGAAGTGAATAAATCGACCGGGTACGTCCTAAATCTGACTGGTAGGCATAAGTGCGGGACGGATCACTAACTGTAATTGTCATATTATCAGATAATCCGGGTCGCAGTTGATCATTTTTAAGCATTTAATATTTATAGCTGGGGCGGATTCGTCATTACAGTTTGGCGTAAAAGTTCTTTGAGTTCAGCGCTCCTTAACCAGTCTCCAACTCTCGTTAACATATCTCCAACTTTACTCAACCCGCATCATCAGTAAAACGTGAAGGTGTTTCGTACCTATCCGGTGTAAGATGATCTTCGGTATCCGAGTAAAATCCATCAGTGTGAGGAGATCCGCCATCTTTTCCTCCATCTTAACGTTGTTTTCTTTCAGCTCTGTGAATGTTTCTTCAGCAGGAGTTTCCTGCTCGTTGATAAACTCTCTCTGTGAGGCTGAACTGAAGACAGTTTACAGAAAACACGGGAATATTTAACTAAAACACCAAACCTGTTTCAAACGACCTTCTAAGAGGAGCTAACGCTACCTCGTGTGCTCCGTAGCTTTCCGTGTGTTTCACTTTGGCTGTCCTGAAGAAACTGTAAACGATCTTTTGTTCCGCCTTGAATTTTCCGCTTTGAGCCTCCTCTCAACATACAGTTACATTAAATATCTTACAACATTAATAAAAGGTTCATATATTTCAGTGAGTGAAACACAGTATTTAGAGTAATTACACAAACACGGAAGGTTCCAAGCCTTTTATTTTTGTTAATTATAAGCATTTTCTGCAGCTAATAAAAGCCTAGCATTTATAATTAGAATATCAAATAATGATGATTGATAGTGAAAAAAAATCTATCCTTTCTTCCATTTTCTTTACACCCTTGTCTCTAGTGGGGTCGGGACAACATTGAATGGATGAATGAAAAAAAAATACTCAAGAAATGCAAGCTTGGAGTTAGGATTAAATGGTATCTAATCTTTCAAAAGAACTATATTGGAATGTATAATAATTTTTTGAGTATGATCTTTATACTTTGTAAAACAATCTAATGTTATATCAGGTTGTAGTTTTGTAGGTTGTGATTCAGTTTTAAAGTTCAACATTGAATAACTACATATATTTTAGAAGACCACAAAGATTTCTCGTTTTGACTTGAAAAATTGCAAATAATTGACTAAATGTGAAAAAGGTTAATGTTGCCAAGTAAAAGTCAAAACATGAAAGGCCACAAATACAATTAAAGTATTTTATTTATATCACTCTATATATATGCAGTATCTGACAAAGGAGACGCTATTAATGACACATTTAAAAACAAACAAAATATGAAAATACTAAATAACAGAGGAAACACTGTGACGCCTCCCAAATGAACAAAATGTTTTTAACTGAAGCTCCTCCCAGCTAAGAAACAAAAGTCATTTTGCAGCTGTATAAAATATCAATATACTGTCATGAACCTGGTTTCCTGCTGCAAACCTTGAACATCTACTTCACAACATGTGCGATGCTAATCTGGTTCTGTCCAGTTTCTCTGTTTTCCAGACTCGATATGTCGGGAACCTTTCAGGCGATCAGAACTTGTTGACTGGAACAAACAGTTGGAGGGTTCAGAAAAACTGGTGAGTTTCTGTTGAATGATTCACCTCCAGCAGCAACAACCACACATCATGTCTCCCCCTGCAGGCCTGACAGAGAAGCACCTTCATGCTGCCACCTGCTGACAAGAGCCTGATACTACAACTACATTGTTTCAGTTGTAGAAATCACTGACTCAGCCATTTTATGTAAGAACAAGAATCTAAT